CCCCCCCCAAATACATTATCATGCATAACATCTCAGCACTTTGGGAGAAGATTCCCCCACCCCACCTCCCTAGTTTCCATTTCTACTTGATCTGGAAAGTCCCCTGATCCCAGAGATGCATATTTCATGCTGTAAGTGTATGCTAAGGCTGCTTCGTTGTGTTGTCTGTACTGCAATAAAAATCATAAAGCAGATAAGCAATTTGACCTACAGGGAAGCTTTCAAAAAGTACTTTCTGGTAGAGCACAAAATCCTACAGACATGGGCATCCATCATCATACAAGTTTCTTTAGGAAAGTCAGCCTTGAGTTACAAGCTCTAGGCAACTGAGCAAGGATTTGATGAGGGAAGGAGCCTTGCAATCTATATGTCTGTGGTCATCTAAAATACAAATGTTTCTGTATTTGCAATAGAGCGTACACAAACATTTTTACCTTGAGGGATGTTAAGACAGAAAGCTAGGGAAGGCTTCAAGAAATGCCCACTACATGTCCTGTCAAGCAGATAAGTCTTGATATCATCAGCTTAGGTTAACATGAAGAAGTTTTAGTGATAAGAAAATTTGTGCCTTTTTAGTTTAATCTAGTTCAGATTGAAACTGGGCAAGAGGGAATATTTATATACTAGTTTATTCCTTGATTCAGTATGTACTACAATATATTAAGTATTTAAACAACACATAAGAATCTTTTGCTGTCAAACTTGGCAATAACCTGAGCACAACTACTGGCAAGTGGGTAAGAATCTGAAAGCTTTTGTTCTGACAGAGAAGAGTTATTTTAATCAAAACCACTTGTAGATGAAGTGACAAACCCTGAGTGTTTTTCCCCCACATACTGGCAAGAACACGGTGAGTCTATCCTACCAGTTGACCTTCACAATAACAGACTGCAACACCAAAGGGTAACAAACCCCAATGGCACTCTGGTGATCACTTATGTCTTTGTTGTCTCCCTTGGATTTCCCTTCCCTTAAAGGTACTATTACTTAGCCACAGGTGCTACAACGTCAGATAAAATTTTGCTCTTCTCTTTTCTTGAATCAAAGGTTGTAGAGCTGGAATTCTAGATTTAAAAAGGGTAAGGAAGAAAAAAAAACATCCATACCACAGATGGCAAGTTTACCCAATATCTACTGGCAGTGAGCTAAGTGGTTCCAGAGCCTAAATTTTCAACTTCTAAGTGGTCATGCTCACAACACTCAGATAAAAGCTTCCAGGTAGCTAGTATGCTTGTTGGAAAATTTACATTCAGCATACACAATTCCAGTGTTCTTGCTGGAGAACTGCTAGAGTCACGTACCACAGGGTATCACAACCCTGCACCAGCTGGTCAAGAAATAAGCAATAAAAGTTTTACTCCTTCTGAAGGGAGGAAAGCGAACCCCATGAGTTAAATTCCATTTTGCTGACTGCTGATGAACCTGGAATAATTATCCAGGTTAACAGCACTTTCCTGGAGAAGGACAGGAGAAATATTTTATGTTACACTTGAAGTTTGCAGGGAACATCCAGAGACACTAAAACTAAGCAAATACTGGAATGTGAAAGGCATTAGAAACGCATTTTTAGTTGCCTTTATACAAGAGTTCTGTAAACCTTATCAGAGACCTAATAGGACTAACATAGGGTCCTTTAACCATGGGGGAGGGGGGGGGAAAACCAACCAAACAAAAACAAAACAGGTTTTCAACCAACTCCTTATTAGAAGGGACAGACAGAGTTTAGGGACTTGTCTTACATCAGAGCCAAGAAATAGGAAGCATCAATATTCTTTAGTTCCCAGTTTCTCCTGAGCCTTAAACCAGTTCTTTCTTTCAAGGAAAGTAATTTTCAACCTAGTTATCTTGATACTAACTTCCAATTCCTAGGAAATAAAAGCACCAGAATAGAGCACTTGAGGAACAGCATTCTGTATAACTGATTCTTCCGAATATAGTGGTGCCACATTTTCAGGAATGCATTTTTTTGTTCTAAACGGCTTTGTAAGAGCAATCAGCCAGCTGAAATCCAGAGAAAGCCTGTTAAAGTCCCCTTTCATAACAACTTCAAAAGAAAGTTTTTTCCCCTAGAGGTTCCTGACAGTGGGATGTACTGTACTTTAAGTTAACAGAAGGACACTTTAAATTTAAGATTTTTAATTAACTAGTAACTTTCTGGAAGCCACAGAATTATTTGTTTTCACTGTGGGCTTATACTTTATTGCTAAGTAGATCCAGACTTGTTAGGTTAAAAATTTCTTTGTGCTGCAAGTTAGGGATATGCTTGCCATGTAAATACAATGCATTAAGTGACAGACCTCTAGGTAGATGTGGGAAGAGAGACATCAGCTTATATACAGAGTCCACAGGATAGCCATTTTCATAGCCAGTGGTTTCAGCGAGACAGTTTGTTAGGAGGTTAATCAGTATCCCACATAGCAGAAGTAGGAATCTGAGCTCAGAGACCACGAGAAGGGGAAAAAAATTATACATAGCTCAGAAGAATAAAATAATACAAAGTTGGCCTTGAAATTTGGCTGTATGAAATAATCCTAATTGGGAGGCACGTTCAGCATTTGTCTGGAGCTGGCACCTGGACTGTTACATGCTTTCTTTGCTAAGGCAGCCCATAGCAAGCTGTCCTTTCTCCTAAAAGGAGAAATGCACTAGCGTGTTTGAGAGCTTTAGGAGAAACAAAATTGAAGCCATTTACAAAAAAGACATGTTGGAGTTTTAGCTTATTCATAAATTCAAAAGGATGTCTTGTCCCTACCCAATGCTCTGCTGACTTAACACTTTATCACTTCCACCTTATCAGCAACAAGTTTGTCCTCTGACAAGAGACCCAAATTCTTGCTTAGCTTAACTATTAAGTCCTCAGTTTTGCAATTCTCCTATACTAACAGCTGGGGAAGAAGAGAGGCACCTCACTTCATCTGATAACATACTACTGTTTCTTGCCTGATAACATACTACTGTAGTTGTAGGCAAGACAAAGAACTCAGGTTGCTGGCAGCTAGAAAGTTTCTATTTACCTTAGTTTGCAAGTGCTTTCCCCCGGGAACAAGTTTTTGCAGATGAAGCGTCCCTTTCGTGAATTTTAAGGAAACAGTCAGTCTAAACCAAGAAGTGAAATACTTCATTGAAGAAGCCTACATTTCATAAGTACTCACTCCAAAACAGTCTTTCCATTTAGAAATGAACCTTGTAGCAGCATCATAAACCTAAGATTTTGTAAGAGAGGCAGAAAAAGGGCAGAACAGCAGTATTCCACTATCCAAGGTAAACAGTGCAAAGAATAAGAAAAGTTCTCAGTAGGAAATCAGTTGCCAACTGATTTCCTTTCTTGAAGACCAGATCCTCCAAACTGGTTTAGTCCCAGAATCAAGGACTCTGCTTTACAGACTTCATACATCACTTTCAGTGCTAATTTTGCAAAACCAAACAAGTGCATGATTTTACATATGAATTATTATAACAAGTTCTGCCCAGTTCTTCTGCCAGACTGAACTTCATTTAAATCACATGAGCACCCTGTCCTACAGGCATCATTGCTTACAAAAACAAGTAACTGCACATACTGGATTTAAGACAAGGAACCTCCAACAATAAGCTGAAAGGCACGCATTTAAAACAGAAGTAGGAAAACACATACACAGTGATCTTAACATAGTTCTACTATACTTCCGAGAACTTTGTGAAGCATCCAGTATTCCTGTTAGGTCAGACAGACAGAAAAACATTTCTTCACAGCATCCCTATGAGGGGGAGAAAAAGAAAAAACACAGAGAGTCATCTCAGTTACACCACTTGATGAGACTCATTCCATGCAACTATCATACCATTGACACTCTTGGTGGCCATGCATTAATTGCGCTTACAGTTTGTGCAACTATATGAACAGACTAAAGACAGGCAGGTCTGCTCATCTTCCACCAGCCCAGCGGCAGTGAAAATTACACCTGTCCTGAAGGGCTGGAATGAGAAGGAGCGAGGCTGATTAAGTGGGACAGAAAATTGCTTGCTCAAGCATTAGAGGAATACTCTGGTAAGTTGAGGGAGGAGGTACACAGAAGAATATACTTATCTAGTAGCATTTTGGATATATACAGGTATTCCAAAGACAAGCCTTAAGTTTAGTGTATGGTCAGTGCAATTGCATATTTTAATAGGAACTCTTCTCATTTTGGTACATTTAAATTGTGTTCTCCCACTCAAGAAGATGCTTAATCCCATTTTCAGCTCCAACTACACCAGTTTCCTCCCCCTAGAAATTTTTTCTAGGGTGGTGTTTTAAGCTCATACATTAAAACACTCCTATAACTAATCTTCTCTATCATTAAACCCTAAGATGACAAAAGGTAAGAGGGAGGGGAGAAGGAGGCTTACCTTGCAAACGGTATGAAGGAAATGCTGTACCTAAGAAGGAACATATTAAAAGTTACTGCTTATGTCAGATTACATTAGAGTCACATACAAGAGGAAAAACCCTCTGTTCCTCTAAAGATATAATTGCAAAATGCACAATATAATGGAGTTTTGAGTTTGTGAACCAAAGGCATGGATATCCTTGCAAGTCATCCTAGCCCAGCCAGGTTGTGAAACAGTATGGCAAAGTCATGGGGCACACTGTGGAAGTATTTTAAAACACAGCTCTCTTGCCCCCAATACTCTTCATGCTCCAATGCCTATGGCCGGCAAAATTAGTCTTGAGGGCTGGTTGGACTTTTTTTTTTTAAGCAGTTTCTGTACTTCTCAGACATTATACAAATTATATGATAACTTGAAGAAAACTGATATTTAGTTTAACTGGTACACCTGGGTCATTTAACATGACAAACTCAGGAGGGTCCAAAGAGGAATACCAAAGAATACGCAGCAAATTGATTAAAAAAAAAAAAAAGGGAGGGGGAAGGAAGTTTTACCTCAAGCTCACAGAAATTAAACATAATCAAAGGAATTTCTCTCAAAACAGAGCCATAAGTTTCCCCTCCAGGCTCACTGAAGTGGAATGAGAGAGCAAAGAGCAAGAACATGTCAGCTCTTTATAGGCGCATATTTAGAACAGTGAGGTAGAAAATTCTCCTTCCTTTTAATTCACATAAGGTCAAAATCCTCTGACAATTCAGCAACTGAGGTTAGGTATAACAGAAAATGGAGTTGGGGGAAGGAAGCCACCTACCATGCCAGGGCAAAAAACTGTAAGATGCAGAAAAGGAGTGCCAATCCTGCATTGTGCCACTGAAAGGAAGAAAAAGAAAAAAAAAACATGAAAAACACAAGCAGACAAGGAGGCAACTATGTAAGAGTTATTTTTAAAATATATTCCAGTTATATACACACCCAGGACTCAAGTACTCACCCAGAAAGCAGAGCACAGTGTTAGTATGAGGCACAACTAGAAGAGAACAGAATTTCATTAAATATAGAAACTCTCCTTTTTTTTTTTTTTAATAGATATCGTGACATTCTAATGGGTTCCTTCAGAGAGGGGTAAATTGTGAAATATGTAGTCTGTTTCCATAATTCTTCCAAAGAGTTCCCCTTACTTAAAAATGGGCTAGCTACTTCATTTCTGAAGTGAATTAGTGAAACATCAGCCTGATATTTCCAGAAAGTAAGCTCACAACTAAAAAGGAAGAAAAAGCAGGAGGTTCCTACAGCTCTTTTGCAACATCAGTAGGTTCCTACTTCTTCCCACACACTTCTTGATGTCATATGTATACACTATGCTTTTTTTTTTTTAAATAAGTAACACTTCCCAGTTTAATACACTATCAAGTACACTTAGCTACTGCTTAATAGCTGTCTTGTTTAACAAAGTCCAACACAGCAATTCAAATTCGCACTTAAAGTTGCACTGTGTCTTCACTGAACTAAAATCTTGAAAGCTAATAGGTCACCGTCTAACATTCACTTTTAACAGGAGCCTCCTTTCAATGCACGTTTTCATCTTCAATTTAAGACCTGCCAGTTTATTAAGCTACAACAGATGCTGGTATTTGACTGTCCCTCATGAATGTCTAACTCAGCCTCCCAATGTGCCGTGTATTGTGGTGCTAACCGAAATTACAATGTATACTAACTTTTTATTTTCTTACCCAAGCAGAAAAGTATTATCTATATGCGCAAGTAAATATCATTTTCATTGCTAAAGAAATCATATGCTTAACCTCAACCTGATTATTGATACTAAATTTAGTTTTTCCAGGAGTTTTAAGGTGATGATTTTCTACGTACTACATCATCCAAGAACTGGCTTTATTTATTCCAGTGAGTGATGTTTCAGGGACACTCCTGGCTACAGACATTTTTAAATGCGTACTTTAAGGGGGAGGGGGGGAAGGCCACACACACCACCACACAGGACCCTTTGCATGCTGCATTATCTAAGAGCATACACGGTACATTTTCTTAAGCCGTATCAGTTGCCTGAAGCCTCTTTATATTTTTGAAAAAGAAAAAAAGGAAGGGCTGATACCAAATGAATGCTCTGAAGACATTTACATTGAAAATGAAAAGGCAGTTTTTAACATGCTAAACCACCTTCCAGAATTTCAAGCTTTCCAAGAGAAAAATGCAGGAATGTAAGAGCAGAGACAAAAAGAACAAAAAAGAGAGACAGGGGAGGAAAAAACCACACACAATGCACTTTTAAATAGGAATGAGTCAAAGTTTTCAGCTATTTCCACACACACCCCAGTAGAGGGCATCCACATTCCCCATCTTCTGGGGACAAAGTAATTCCAAAGGCTGACTAGAGTTGCATGTTGAACTTGCAATTTTGTTTTGTCATATGAGTTTCAAAACCCAAAGCTAACAGACAACTAAAGCGTCTTTTATATTTTTAAAGCAAGATGACTGGGGCAAAGAAATTCCTCAGTTGCTTTGTCATAAAATTAGTATTTTAATCAAGGTGAAAATACCTACATAGCTCCTTAAAGGAAACCCAGTAGAAGATAAGAAGACAAAGTGATGCAAAGCAGGCTATTTCTAACAGCTTCCATTTTACTTTTTTTTAAACCCTAAAGTTTCCTGCCTATCATCATCTTTTAAGAAAGATGAAAGTATGACAGCAACACGACTTCAAGCACACTGAAACTATGTGCATGATTCATGCACACAAACCACAGATCCTTAACATTCGTGTAGCATATTAACCTGGCTTCGACTCAGTCTTTCATAACAGGAAGCTGCCTTTCTGGTGCAACACATATTGTTACTACAGCAGATGTACTGGATTTTTTTTTTAAAAACAATATATTAAAATTTAGTTGTATCGAAGTCCATGAAAGGAATTTACAATAGAAAGGTTAGCGCACACTAACTAAGAGGGATTCTTTTGATACTCACTAGCATAACAACAGTAGCAATCAAACGAGTATACTCAAACATCTTTTTCAGTTGTCGCATTGGTCCCATGAGGAAAGCGGTGCTGCAAAAAGGAAAACAAGATGAACACAGAAGATCTAGAGGCATAAGTGAAATTAAATTCCTGATTAAAGAGGTTTATTTCGTTAAATTGTCTGCTGTCATGTAGTTCACCAATATACTGTGTTGTTATGGTAAAAAAATTCTGCATAGTAACAAAAGAAACAGAACGTACAATGTTCCTTCCTGCTCTTCTTTACCTAAGCTATTTATCCCATATCTTTATTCACATTTGTTAACTTACAATCAGCGTAAGTAAAGCAGAGCTGTAAGGCTAGCATAGGTCAAGATCAGCTAGATCATTCCTAACAGATGCTTGTTTAACCTGCAATTCAAAACACCAGCCTCACAGACTCTGCATGGATTGTAGGCAATGTGCATCTGTCTCTCCACATAAAGGACTGTTTTCAGGCCCGCACCTGTTCTCTGACCCCTCACCAGATTTGCATCCCTCCTTTAAAGGACTGGTGACTAATATTGCATAGGTTTTGTAAGGTGAAAGTTTTATGTGAGGTGCTATTTTTATCTCATGTCTAGCTACCGTACTATTTCCAGTTCCATTCTTTGTGCTTTCTAACTCCCTGTTAACCTTCCTTAGCTTACAAAGTTATGTCTTTCATGAAGTCAGTGTGGCTGTGTTTCAGGAACCTTTACAAAGGACATGAAAGCTTATCAGACAGGTCCACCCTGACTGACTGCCCCAGACACTCACCAAAAAACACAGACCATTACAGAATACAAACTGACAAAGAATTACTTTTATCCCTGGGGAAGAAGGAAATAACCTCAAGGTTTAAAGCACAAGTGTGATTCTTTTTACTGCTGAGTAACTTTAACCTTGAATGCATTGGCTAATAACAATAAACAAAATTACTACTATTTGAAGCTAGTACTGGAATCTTTGAAATTTAGCAACAGGAGAACAATCTACATAAGCAAACGTTCTCACACAAATACAACAGTTTCTGCTACTCATGCACCTTCACCTATCATTCTACTCCAATTTCCTGCCTTTATTAGGTAAGCGTCATAAATAAAATTGTTACCTCCCAATAGATGCAATATTCCCCAATGTGTAAAACACTGCAAAGAGAATCAGTCCTTTCTTTGGTATCCATAGCAGACAACTACCCTAAAGAGGGACATAACAAAGTATTTTTGTATTGCAAATGAAATATATCCAAGCAGCATCACAGCACAAAAGAAGCATAAGGAAAACTTAAGTCCAAAGCACAGAACCACAAAAACAGCAGTTGTGTTTATTGGTATTCTTCATAGGAATAAACACATGTCATCCAGCTGTGGAACTGAGTCAGATGTCTGCAGAGACTCAAAAACAGGAGACAGCACACAGCTGTCTTCTAGCAAGCAGTCCTTACCAAGACAGAGCACAGGCATCCTATTGCAAAACAAGCAACGAAGCCTTTAACTCTGGTGCCCCAACTTAATGAAGTTGCATCAATCACCTACAAACAGGGAATAAAACACAAGTTATTTACGGAATGCAATCTTGCCACATATCGAGTAGTAAGCTTCCTCTAAGACACTAGACTCGGTTCTAATCCGAGGAGAACCTCAACAGCTTTTTTCAAGCCTTTAGGACGAGCCCCTGCTGCTAGCAGAAAGCTCAGTTACCAAGCGGTGAGGACTTCCTGCAGAGCAAGGCGTCGTGTGCCGGGGAGCGCCTCTGCTGCGAGCCGGCAGGACAGCAGCGAGGCGGCGCCGAGGGGCAAACGCCTGCTCGCGGGGCAAAACACGGCGGCCTTTTCACTTCGGATTAAACACCCGGAGACCGGCTGCAGGCCAACCGCCTTCA